TTATTCATTATTCGAATACTCTGTTCTCTATTATTCAAACATTTTTTCTATGTAAATATTTCAATCCAAATTGATTCATACGCAAGAAATTTATTGCAGAAATCGGTAAACGTTTAGTATAATACAGCAGTCACATATCTATTTCGAATAGTGAAGCAGAACATGAATATAATGATGATGACACATTTTGAAGCATTTGGAGTTTGAGATATAGGGCTGAGGTAGTACGGGGCACAAAAAGGATGTACTTTTACTGAATTAAATTTACTAAAAAAAAAAATCACACTCACTCGTGTGATTAGTAGTTAAGAAAATTTAGGATTCATAAATTCTTCATTAAATTAGATTTAAATTTGTTATTTGTCCCTATTTTTGTTGCATACATTCAATATTCATGCTCTTCTGTTTTGAAATGTATAAAAATTAAAGTAAAGAAGAAAAGAAAGGTGTGTTCTATTATCCGAAAATTCTCTCATCCGAACACTAATGTCCCCTAATTAATTCGGATAATCGAGATTTTACTGCATACACCTACAAGGTGAATTTGATTTGCGAAAAAGGGAAGATAGAATGCAAAATTTATACTATCATTTAAAATTTTGTCGTGCTATTTTTAAATTTTTCATCTGAATTTCAGGATTTTGAAAGTTTCCTTGATATTTGAAATTCGTTTCTAGTTTCAAAACAAAACGAATGAGTCGAAAATAAAACGAATACTGTGTAGGTGAAAATTGTCTGGAGTTCCTAACAGTCTTCGTACAGTCGATTGCGGAAACATTTATTGCTTTCGAGTATTTATAGTTTCTACTGCAGACAGTTCATTCGATCTAATCAACTGTGTAAAAAAACTCAAGGTTGGAAGCATATAAAAAATTGGGAAAAACACTTTAAAGAAATATTTTCAAAAATCTGTCTGAAATCTATTTATTATTAAGCATTTCTTATGAAACTTGAAAAAAAAGAAAGTATGAAAAAATATCAATAAATAATATTAAATGATATATTTAAAATTATGAAATAAAAAAAAATTTCAAAATTGGTTTAATTTATTGTTTCAACTTTGTATTATTATGATACACTATACGTATTTTTATTATTAAATACTGGTTTAATTTTTATCATAAAATGGTAATAGGAACAGATAGTAAATGTTTTCAGTTGAGGTTTTATATTTCTATTAAGTATAGTCCGTGGAAACGGTATAGTGAGGCCGTAATTTAAGACATTAGGGGGTGACACCGATTGATGTAGCTGTATTCAATATCGTACACGTTCTATAGAAAAGCACTTTAAATCTCAGGTTACAAAAGTCATTTATGGATTGATATTTAAAATTTCTCTATGAACTGTGTATTACGTAGAGAAAAGTAAATTATGTATTTCTAGAAATTGCTTTTCAAATTGTATGTTATATAACATTTACTTAAATATATTAAAAAGAAAAGTAATTTCCGGTTGACATTATATGGTCCTAACCTATATCATTCTAACCTATATGGTCCTAATTCTCCTATATCTCAAGTTGTTATTTTTAATAAAAAAAATGTGAATTATAATGAACTCATTATATTCATATTATTAATGTTTAAATAAAGAATGTGTTAAGTCAAATAAATATATATTCAGCCTCTTAATGTTAAAATTATCGATCTATAAAATTTATCTAAATATAATATGTATATAGTTAATATTAATTAAAGTGCTGTGATGAAGATATAATTAATGATAATTAAAGTGCAGCGATGAAGGTATATGCTGATAGGAATATATAATTACATTTCTGTCTGAATAAAAGTTAATATTAATTTTACCAGAAAGAACTGCATATTTCCAGTAATTAAAAAATTAAATCATAAATCAGTCATTTTGAGTCATTTGTTAGTTGTAGTATTAATTAAAATTCATGAACTTAGTATAGGCTGATTTAATTAGAATGAGTTGTTTTACTTTTGTACAATTTTTTATATTTCGTCTTACTTAATTTTTCATGCATTCATTGGAATTCAAAATTTTCATTGCCAGTATTCTATATATATGGAAAATTAATTTTCCTCTTTATTACGACCTTTATATTACATTATATCCTAATGCCTTTTTAGTTATTAGTCATGATTTATATTTAATTTATATTTCCATGGCTAGATGGTTATTTAAAAAATTAATTTTCAAAAGTTATTTAATTTTTTTATATTTTCTTGTACTTTAATTTCTTTTTTTTGTATATCTTGTTATTAGAAATTATAATGTAATTTCCAGTATTTCTTTTATTTTATTTTCTTTGTTGTTTGTATTTTCACTTTTACTATTTAAAGCTCTTGCACTTGTTTAATCAATTATTTATCATTATTAGAGTATTTTCAATTTTATTATAAAATACTTATAATTAACTTTCTTTTATTAAACTATTATATATCATCCATTAAATCTATGTTCAAAACTTCAGCGACCAATTGTTCGGTTAAACGTCGTTAAAACAACACAAATTTTGCAAACTCTCTGAAACTCCTCACGCACTCAAAATTTTCCCCTTAATGGTCCAGTTGTACGTAAAACAAATTGTTTCTTTTCTCTTCATCAGTTTTCGTTAACAACGTAAATCGATGGGTCTGATTATAACGGATCAATTTAACCCGCATAATTGCTGCTCATTAACCAAATTTCCTAGCAATCTTTCATCAGCACTCTCGAGCATAATAGACTGCCTTGCCATCTGACCTGGATTTCCGATTGCAGCGCCACTCGTGTTACCTCTTGTATTCTGAAGACTGGGATTCTCTGTCCACATTTAAATTATGCCGTCGTAATCACGCCAATATTCAGTTCTAGAACATCGATATGAATATATATATTTGTATGTTATGTATAGAGTTCACCTAAATACGACACGTGGCCACAAAGCAGTTAAATTGCAAGTAATATCTTTAGCCGGGACAAAGTTTCTTGTCGGAGACTAAATTATCCGCTAACCACGTCATAAGCACGTTTCTAAAGTGATTAGTGTAGGTTGGTATGAGGCAAATAGTAAAATGCGGGAAGGGATATACAGGGTGTCTTTTTAAGAAATGACGAAATTGATGTTCCTTTTTCTTTGTTGAAAGTTTCCCTTTCTTTTATTTTCTCTTTTTGAAGAGTGGAGAATAGGTGTAGGTGTTGATATATTCAGTTCCATTCTTGACTTTTTATCTGTTCTTAACCAACGTTCATTTTTATAATTTTTTTGTTTAATTTAGAAAATGTGTTTTTAATATTCTATACGTAATTGCGAATTTTTATTTTATTTTTATTTTTGTTCACACAGCACGATCCTGTATATTGAATGATAAAAATAATAGAAATGACTTAAAAGGAATAAAAAATAATTTTAAGGAATGAATGTTAACTACATAGTAATAATAGCTGAAATAATAAAATTTGTTTATATCTGTTTTATTTATTTTATTGTATAGTTTTATTAATTATATTACATTTTACTAATTTTATTGATTTGGTTAGCAAACTTTCCATTATTTATCAACTAAAAATCTATATTTTATTTACTTTTTTACCTTTGTTTTTTTCTTAAATAGTTTCTTATTTAATAGATTTTTCTTTAAAACAATTTATGATTTAATTTCGTATTCAGCAAAATTTATATTTTTCGAGAATTTGATGTTTGCAGCACGTATCCGAGCATAGGATGTTCTGTTCAAGATTTCATAAATGCAAATTTGAATGTAGCAGGTGGATGAAAGAGATCTAATGAATAGAAAGTATCTGTGCATTGCATAAATCCTCATGAAGTATTATTATAAAATTGAATAATAATGCACTTTGGTAAATAGTAATCAATTTAAGTATAGGAAAAAGAAATTTTATTACAAAAATAGAAAACAATAAACAATGTTTTATTTTCTTATTCAATTATTTTTATTTTATCTATTGTTTATATACTTTTTATGTCGTTAAGGAAATGGAACAGTGCAAAAATATATCTGAATTTTATATAGTACAGTACTAAGTCTGTGAAAATAATTAATGTAGAAACAGTGGATGAAAGACGGATTTGAAAAATGTTTTCAACTAAATCGACCAACTATAAATTAAAAAGCTTTTACGACCGCAATCAATTCGGTATATAAGGAGAATCGAAAGACAGCGTCATATCCAAAGATATCATATAGGACCATAAAGTGCTGGGATATGTGTATCCGTCCTTTTTCTTCTATTTGTTTGGACGTACGTATTGGAAGCTTCACTTTTGCTTGGTAATGTTATCCCTATTGTAAAATCTGATCAAATGACTGTAATAACACAGAAGAAAGTCTTAAACCTCTATAACTAGAATCATATTTGTTTGAAAAAAGACAAAAATTATAATCTATTATAATATTTATTTACACTTGAACTTTGGACTTTTCATAATTCTTATAAAAAAGTATTTTGTTCCTCCATATGAAATTAAGTGGAAAACTGAAAAATACAATTGCATACCAATTAGAGAAAAAAAATTGAATTAAAAATGCATGGATGTACGGATATCAATTTCCAAGTTACATAATGTTATAGACAATTAAGAGTTAGTAAAAGAACAAAAGAATGTCATGAGAGATTATTAACTGATTATTAACTAATCATATATATAATTCTTTTGTCATAACACTTAAATAATAAACATACCTTCATGCACTAAACCATAATTATAGTTGAGTGAATTAAAACAGAAAATATTAGGGAAACACTTACTCATTTATTCCCTATATGCTTAGAGATGCATACTAGCTTTTTCATGGTACTACAAAGTAGCCTATGCACACACCTTTTATTCCAAAGAAATTAATTTTTCATCTCTCGTATGAACGTTTTTGGTCATACTGAAGAATAACAAAGTTGCTCAATCTTCTCCTGAGACACCCAGTATATCATTAAAATGCTCCGGCGAAATTCATTCAGGAGGCGATGTTTTCAAAGCGTTGCTATCCCCTTGATGGCTGAAGGTACATATACATTCGGGGAGTCTGGAAGGAAATAAAATGGAAGAGAGAGAAAAGAAAAAAGAAAGGATGGGGATGCATTTCCTGACGGAGCAGCTAGAAGGCTCGTTAGTAAGATTACCTCGTAGACCTCTGGCTCCAGAAACCGAGATATTCACTGTTAAGCCGGATCTGCACTTGACGAACGAGCGTAAACGAATAAAGCGAGCACAAACGAGCGCGAGTGAACATAAACAAAAACGTGCGAGCTCGAACGAATGTGTAGGAATAATCAAAATCCGTTTCGCTTCTGTTTATTGTCCTTCGATTCCAGATGGCTTTGTTATCGTTGAACGAAGAACTACGGGCACTAAATATTCAATCATCTTGTCCATACCATATAAGTACGAACGAATATTTTTCTACATTATTGAATCGTACTGCACTAATCATGAAACGCGTGACAGCCATGCGATGCAACGGTCTCGCGTGATGCGCAGAACGGTGCGCAAAAATCTTGCCACTACGCAGATCACTAGATATACGTATACTACGTTCCGTCGACACACGTTTGGGTTAGTAGCTGTGAGTCAGAGACACTACGTTGTCGGTAAGCAACGGGTCACGTTCGTTAATGTTCGTTCGCGCTCATTTGTCAGGTATAAACTCGGCTTTAAGTGAACGATCCGCGTATTAGATTGGTTAGGCGAGGGCTTGTAATTACTGAGAAACTCTTGAACGTCACCTTATCCTCTTTACTTCTTTTTAGAGCACTTTGTAGCGAGTTTATGGAGTAATTTATCCAAGTTATCTCTCTTGTAGAAGTTTCTTCACGAACGAAAGGAACGAAGAACGATTTTAATTTTTCTTTGTTTCTTTAATTTTTTTGTTAAATTGAAGCTTTTAATATGTGATTTTATTATCAACTGTCTCATTTCACCAAAGGTTACAAGGGAATATAAAATTTCTAGTGTTATAATAAAATTTGATATTATATATTAATGTTTTGTTTTAATTTATAAATAAATAGTAATTTTTAATTAGAGTAAGTTTATGATTATCTTTTGTAAGTTGTACAAAAAGTTTCTTCTTTACCAACTAGAGAGAAATTCATTTATTTAAATTTTGCACTTAAACCATTTTTCAACTTTCCAGCTTTTAATTCGACTTCTTTATTTTTTACTTTCATTAGCTTTTAATTTATATTTCAGCTCTTTTAAGGAGATGCACTCAAATACTTATTTATTCTATTAAACTTTAAATTAATATATTAAAATATTTTTTTATTTTCAAATTGTAAATAGAGATACTATAATGAATTTACTTTCGTGTTAATATTTATTTATTATTAATAAACAATTATTAATGGTAATAAAAAGATATTAATTTATATCTTTGTTACTTTGATACTAAAAGTTTTTATATTTATATTTACTTTATATTTAATTTTAAAATAATATTTTTAAGTTAACTTCTTTTAAATATCTTTAACATATTTTTTGTAATTTCTATCTTTCCTGAAGTTCTAAACAAGTTGTAATTTCTCTGTTACAGATTCACCAGAATAGGGAAAACCAAAAAAAGAAAAAAAGAAGAAAAATGGGTTCAACATAATCCACGAGGAAAGATTTCACGAAGGAGTCGATCGAAGAAGAGGAAAATGCGTATCATGTTCGTCATTTGACCAGGACCATCAATCAGCAATACAATTTCAGTACAAAGACAAAAAGAAAAGAAAATCTAAAAACGAACGAAAAAAATAATCGAAAAATTCGCGAAGACAAATAAAAAAAAAAAAAAATTAAAAAAAGAAATAAAAACGGAAAAATCACTTCCGAGGAAAGTACAATAAAGAGAAAACGAAAGAGGGATAATAAGAAACAAAGACAAAGCGAGGACAATCTAAAACAAAGTTACCTAATTAATTAAATCAACGTACATTGATTAATAGATCGAATCGATTATACGTATTTCTATTGACGACTGAGAATATATATATTCATCTATATATATTATATATATATATATTATATATTGAAGGTTAATACGAGAGATTATTATCGATCATTGTTAATGTTAAGAGATATTTGATGTTTTAAAGTATTATAGAATGAAAGGGGAATAAAGAAGGAGAATAAGAAACGAATATTTTAATTTTATGAATTATATAGTCGATTTAATGTTAATTTAGTTAGCAGAAAAAATCTTCCTATCGCAAACGAAATAAAGAAATCGAGAAGAAAATATAGTAAAAAAATTGGAAGTAAAAGATTTAAAAAAAAATTATCGAAATTGGTATATAAGATTAAACGATTAAGTAAGCTGAAGGAAACAATCAGATTATAAAGAAACGATATTATAACGAATATAGTAGCTGTGTTTGAGAAATTATATGTAGACGTTGAAAATATACTATTATATAGTTGTATGGTATCCATTGGGTCCATATTTAGAGAGACTATCAGGCAGAAATAAACTTGTTTTTATTGTTATCACTGAAAATACCAGAAGAACAAAAATATTTCCAAGGAAAAGAAGAAACATCGAACAAAGAACAGTGAAAAATAAAGGTGATTATTTAGAGTAAAATACTTAAAATATTTCATGATATTGCCATAGATTTAAAATTTCAGTTGTATTTTTTATAATTATTTTATTGTGTAATATTGCAAAATATGATTTGCTAATTAATGTTTCTAGAATAATATGATATTTCTGTAAATAGTAGTATAATATTAGAAACAAACTAGGTTTTTGATTAAAAATTTTTGAATCAATCAGGATTTATAATTTTTAATAAAAAATGCTTTTTTCAAATGTAATGTTTTTTTCCATTAAACCTTTAAGTAAATTTAATGAAACATTTGATTTCAATCGTAGATTTTATTTGATTTTAATATTCTTTTCACTGTTTTTGTTTGTTAAAAAATTTCTTTTACGTGCTATTGAAAACAATTTATTAATTGAAACAATATAACTAATTTAATATATTTCATGTGTAAAATTTTCATTAATTATAAAATATATGACATAAAATTGAAAATGAATCATAAGTTACAAAGTTTTATTAATATTTGTATTCTACAAGTGTATATTCTGTCATAAAATTATTTAAATGTGATCAAATTTTATTACATTATTTTATCATTGTACATTTATTATATGTATTCTCACGATGAATATATTAACCAAATTTGCATGAACAGAAATGGAAAAGTATTGCTTCCCTGATAATAAAACTTCCAAATATTTTTTTTTGTAGATTAAAATATAAACTATTAACATGGATTAAAGAATACAAATTACCGTTGCTACTAAAATTTTCTTAGTGACATTTCAAAGTATCTCTTAATCAAACATTTTAATGTGATTTTCAAAAAATAGAAAGAAAGTGTGAAGAAAATCTTTTTCTTCAATGAAATCAATGCTTCCTAAAATAACCCAATAAATTTCTTTAGAAAATATTAGTTTGATAATGTTTTACCAGAAAAACAAATGATTTTGGAAATAAATAAACAAAGTATTTAAATAATTTAAGTTTTCTTAAAAAACTAAAACACAGAATGTTTATATTAATATATCAGAATATATTATAAAATTATCAATTATTAATAACCCTCTATGAATATTCCTTACTTTATTACAAACCAAAATTATCAAATTAGCAGTGAAATCGAAAAATTTTGTGATAAAATATGATAATGTTCGTATTAAAATTTCACTTTTGTCTCGATTCTGTGATGTAATTATTTAATTACTTTGAATCAGTTCAAACTTCAGAATATTTTCACGGAGACTGGAGAATGTTGCTCTGAACTGCGAGGCTAAGCGGCTTCAAAATGAATCTGGAAGTGGAACTTATCGCAGGGGTGATTAAGGGTGGACCACCCCCCAAAAACCTGCCCGCGCCGAGGCTCATTAAAATTTTCATCGCTGGAGAACGGAATGGTCTTATGCTCTAATCACATTCTTTTATCGATATTCTGATTCGTGTATGTCTGGTGTCCTTTAAATGACACATTTTTGAATTCTGCTATAATGCAATTTAATATATGTAAATAACTTTATTTAAAATTTCAGAGGAAATATTTAAAATAAAAATTGTGTGACAGTAATTTTCATTTAACTGAAAATTGAAAATTTAGAAATTTATTTAAAAAATTGGACATTAATATTATTGGAAAAATTTAAATATTATATTTGTGACAAATATTGTTAATAATTCAATATTGGAATTTAAGTAATTTGTACTTAATAAAATACTTAACGAGTAAATAATTTAAAGAAAGATATAATTGATTGAAGAAATTTTATTTTAAAGATTAGATCAGTTTTTAAGGAATCTGTTTTTAACGAATGCAAAAAATGTGTCATTTAAAACAAGCATTTATTTGTAACACGTGTACTGCCATTTTTAACCCATTAGACGTTAATGTTTAAAGAATACATCATTTTTTTCTTTCTAATAATAGAATTTGGAATTTTTTCTAATAACACTGTTATTTTAATCTAAATCTGAATTTTATCTGTAATATCTATTGTATAATTCTTGTAGAGTTTACTTTCCCGAATACAAATCATAATCGAAATTGTTCCATCACCCTCAATTTTCAAAAATTGTTTTTCTAGGAACGCACGATTTTTGACTAAAATAAGGTATTGCACGAAAGGTAAAAACATTAGAACATTCATTCTCATCTTAAAAGATTATTTTTTAACTACTTTATATTAAAAAGTCATTCGTATTTATGTATCGAATAACAAAGTTTTTGAAATAGAAAGTGATATAGACAAATTTCTTATAATTTTGCGATTAGTATTAAAAAGTACATGAAAACGTATACATATTATGCATATAAAAGCGTGAGTTCTATTAGACGATGATTTTGGTGTCGCTTACGCGTGACTACGGCCCTGGCGAAGCTAGATGTGCGAACAATGGCTGCGTGGCAGCAAAATCCCACTTACGGGTTCTTAATATATATTTTACGACCCTGTCATCATTCAGGATTGTCCTAATATCGTTTCTATATGGTTTCTTCTTCAGAAAAGTCTACAGAATACGATATCGTGTAGCAAATTCGCGTCAGATAAAGAACCTTTTATAAAAATGCAAGAATATACGTAAAAAGTGCGCACGGCGGTTCATTTTTAAATTTTGATGCCCAATTATAGTTATTCAGGAACATAAATAATTATAATTATGGACATTGATAAACTCGGGATACTCTCACGTAACTTTTAAGATGAGAATGAACCTACTATCCTTCTTACTTTTTACGTAATATTTCATTTTAGTCAAAAATCGCTCATTTTTAGAGAAACTCAAATTTTTCGAAAACTATGGGTGATAAAGCAATTTCGATTACAGATTCGTGTTCAGGAAAGTAGACTCTACATGAATCACCTATTGGATATTACAGATTAGAAGAAAGTTAAAATTTGTTGGACAGTGCAATCGAATTGCAAGCAATAGAACTATTAAAAATATAGTATAGCATATTAAATAATACAATTTCTATGAATGAAAATTTCTGTAATAATAAAACCTACGACTAATCAGTTTGTAACATGTTACAATGATTTATTTTCAATAATAAAATGTAATAATCTAGTAAAAATTGAAAATGCAATATTTTTGCAAATATATTTTATCTACTTATAAATATATTTTATAAACAGTATACAAAAGAAATGTTAATTTAATAAAACAAGTCAATTATTACAAGTTAACTTATATAACAAAGAGGAAAGAAAGTCTTCGTCAAAAGCACTTAATTCATAGCTTTAATTAAAGTCTTTAATTAGGCTTTAATTAAATCGTAAATAATCATTTTGTGATAAGAAAAGAGTAAAAATAAAAATTTCCAAAGAGTAAATAAAAATAACAAAAGAAAATGATTCAATAATTTCAAATTTTTCATTGTGTTAGATTAAAAACGAAATTTAAATAGAGAAACAGGCATGAATTGAAAGCAATATTTCTGCTGTCTAATGGGTTAAATCAATACAAAACGCTTCGTTTGTTAATTTATAAAATTGTACAATATATGTTCACGTGCATATTTGTTTGTCTTTGTGAATCAATGTAACCAACTACTTCCTCAGTTCGTGTGTTCGTCTTTTCATATGCCTATCTAGCTGTCGATTTTGTTTACAATTATTTATTGAACTTTTGAACTTGTTCAAGGGGCTACGCAAACCTAAGTGGGCATGAAACTCAATTTTTTAAGAATATTTCTATTTAAAAGCATAATCTTTCTAAAATGTTCTACAGAAGTCTATATTAGCATATATCGAAATGGCGTAATTTTTTGGTTTTAAATTCAATCATTTTTCTCAAAAGTAATTTCTTGGAGATGGTGTCAGAAATATTGCAAAAGTTGTTATCTTAATTTGACTAAAATTTAATATAATTTTTGATATTTTCATATTCCTATATTCCTAAATTTTTGGGTTCCTCTATTTCTACGTTCTTACATTTCTATTGCTTTGAGAAATGAAGGAAAGGGTTCAATGTAAAGCTTACTAACTAACAATAAGGTGGCTGAAGGATCTGAGCTTCGAAACGAAAAATAACAGATGAGGCAAAGTTTATTAAGAAGCAAAACGGAACAGAATCTTGATAGTGATGACTTAAAAACTTGAAGGGAAGATTGATTGGAGCACTGATTAGTGATTCACAACTTCATATTATTTTTAAATATAATTAACACGTACATCTACAAGTTGATGTTTGCACGTAGCCTTGAGAGATGATCAGCAAGGAAGCAAGCAGTTTGCAAGGTAGAGTACCGAGTCATGATCATCTATCTAATTCTGAGATGACTGAGAAGATAGACAAACGAAATACCAATACTAGAATCGAGTCATTGGCCTAATTTTTAGAGCAATAAATGGAAGACATAAGCTGGAGTGTCGTTTAGCTTGTCTAAACACTGATTTCTGTATGATTACGGTGACATAAGCTGATGGATAGCAAAGGAAGCGAAGAGACAAGATTGCCAGCTACTCAAAAAATATTTGAGGAGATAACTTTTATTTAAACATCGAATATGAGCTGTTAGAGAATATTACACGTGCTTCGAATTATTTTATAGTACCCAGTGAGTAGTTTTATTTTCCTAACATTATTCCCATACAATAGTTCTTGAGATTCTTCTGTCATGATGTTGCTCGACTGGCAGAGGCCATTGTTTTACGATAGATCTGGTCAAGGTAGCTGTTAAACTTCTGATGATATCAATTCTGCGCAATCCATCACCACCTAAATGCAACTTGATTACTTTAGCCAATGCCCACTTGATCGATGGCAATATTTCATCAGTGAGAGGTGTCATGGAGTCTTTCGTGATGTTGGATTCTTTCTAATACCATTTGTCTATTTCCTGAACTGTCTGAAGATACTCTCTAGACCTAGATTGTTCCTAGAAGTGTCGGAGTATTTGCCTAATTAGCTAATATCTCGAAAGTTTGGAGGGTTTAAGCTGCATTATGGATGGCTGTACTATGCGTTGCACACAAGAAGTCCGCTGAGCAAAACGTAGGATCGAATCCTCACTAACCCCTACTAACTCACCCATTCTAATGCAATCGCAGAAGTATAGTAAACGCGCTTCCCTATTGGTAGAAATGATCCTTTCTTATTAGTCTGATCATTTAGAACTGTGTGACAAAGAAAGCGAACGAAAGAATCGAGACAAAGTGAGACTTCAGATTTTTCCGATGAATATTCATTTCCAATTTTATTTAACACGTTAGCTGCCACGTGAGTCACCGGTGATTGATTGACACTGAACTTTCCGTTTAGGCTGCGTCAGTCATCGGTGACTGACAGTATAAAATGCGATAAGAAACTGAGAAATTACATTGTTTTCATAAATTTTAAGTAATTTCAGGATTGTATCATTAATGTACTCAAATATTGCTTATCAAAAAACTTTAATGGATTTTATTGACACAGTTTAAACAAAAAAACGGTTGTCCTTTACAGATGTCACAAAATGTGGCAACTTGCTTTGTCATTCTTCTGACCATTTCTCTTCCAAATCGCGCCATATTTATGTTTTGTTTATCATTTTAACCATGTTACATGCAAATTATTTAAACATCCACCAGCACAGAAAGACGTCGAAGCTATCACACACCCGCAATATTACTCACTACCAATAGGAAGACACACCCACCACTTACATTTCACATCAATCAATCAGTAGATAGACAAAACTTGTAAAACCACAGAGACAGCAGTCACGAGGAGAATTCTCTTAAAAATCTCACGAAAACAGGACAAGCATCACGACCAGACTATCAACCAAGACTCATAACGATGAACTCAGCGCGAGAGACAGTAATATGTCAGAATTCTGTAGTTGAACCCTAACCAGGTCTAGCTCTATTAATTTAGAGTAGGTCGGCAACATCGAGTATTGAGTATACATTGAGTATCTCAGCAACATTGTCGCATCTGCGTAAACGGGCCTTACAATCCCACCGTACGAGTTGCAGTTTCGGGACGTAACAACTTTCATATTCGCAGACTTGCAATGTATTATTCGAGTATAGGAATTTTACGGATATCTTACGCCTATGTTAACGTATAACGTTACCAAACCTGAGGATAGTGATTGCGATTGTCTTGGAAGAGTGGGCATGTTAGAGGCGGATCGAGTGAAATATGTATTATTCGAGTATAGGAATTTTACGGATATCTTACGCCTATGTTAACGTATAACGTTACCGAACCTGAGGATAGTGATTTCGATTGTGTTTTGGAAAAGTAGGCATGTTAGAGGCGGATCGAGTGAAGTACCTCCTTTGCCTCTGTGCAGAAACAGTGGACTTCTTGTCTGCAACGCATAGTGGAACAGAACTTAACGCTGAACCAATTAGAAAATGGTCAGGTGTGAACATTTTTAGGATCTTCAGAAAGTGGCCAAAGTGACTGT